AGCTCAGAAGAGTTTATATATGAATTTGGGTAGAAGTGTAATACAGAAACCAATAAGAATTTCCTCTCAGAATTTTAATATTATCACAAACTGTTACTACTACTTCCCATCAGTGTTGGAGTAGTAGGAATATATGTAATCGCTTTCCTCATCAGCTGCTGAGCTCAGAAGAGTTTATATATGAATTTGGGTAGAAGTGTAATACAGAAACCAATAAGAATTTCCTCTCAGAATTTTAATATTATCACAAACTGTTACTACTACTTCCCATCAGTGTTGGAGTAGTAGGAATATATGTAATCGCTTTCCTCATCAGCTGCTGAGCTCAGAAGAGTTTATATATGAATTCGGGTAGAAGTGTAATACAGAAACCAATAAGAATTTCCTCTCAGAATTTTAATATTATCACAAACTGTTACTACTACTTCCCATCAGTGTTGGAGTAGTAGGAATATATGTAATCGCTTTCCTCATCATCCACGGGGGAATATTCGTTCAACAATTCTACTTATTAAAATCATCTGAGTTTTCTAAACCAACTGCATGAGTTCTCCGAAACCTAAGAAGATACGACCGACATGCCCTCGGTAGGTTGGAGTCAAACTTGTGCATTGGAGTTTCACAACTACCCGTTTTACGACGTGAAGGGGCGTCGTAAAAAAACGCGATATTCGCGGTGATATGCAATAGTCGTGAAATATGTCACATCACTAGGAACTCAATTTTATATATATTTTCTGATCACATGTGAAAGAAACTTTCAACAGTGCACGATCAGGGGTGAAATTATATGAAAAAGTGAGAAAAAAAATTTTTTACGAAGAAAATATTTCCAATTTTATTTTTTATCGTAAAAAATATACGAAGAAAAATGTTCAATTCTAAATGGAAAAATAAAAAAAAATCAAAAAGGAAAATATTTTTCCTCACGGGATTAGAAGGTGAAAGTCAACATTCCGCTTTTGCGAATTCTAATTTTCACTTAATTTTCCAACAACATCTTCTCACCACAACTCACTTGATTTTTGTTATATGGTAGTTATACCCACTCACGGTAAAGTTTCAAAATTTCGTGAGTTGTTGAAACTTCCAAAAAAGTCATTTGTCACTTTCTAACTACACTAGCTTTCACGCTAACTTACATCACGTTTCCCATCACGTAAGTTAGTTGACGAGAAACTAAAATTTTCGAAATTTGCCTGAGAAAAATGCACGCTCCTGATACTCAATCTATATGTGTGTATGGTAAACCGGTAGTGAATATATAGTATTGTTGGAGTTTCTTCACCCTAGTGATATGGAAAATATATTTCACG